GAAATGTCTACTGTCTTTAAAGACTAAGTTAGGCGGTGTTTCTGGCTGTATCTGGAGAAGGCGGCTTACGGCCGATTCCTGTTCAGTCATCTCGACTTTTTCCTGTCACAGCTAAAGTGGGGAGAGAGTTTAGATTGGGGTAGAGGGTAGCGCGTCCATTTTCACTATACCTGACCACAGTCACCGCCCCTGCTCTCGGGCAGATGGTGGATATCATCGCTTGCGATGGTCGAACTAACAAAACATAATATATACACTGAGGAATGGGTACAAACTGATCCAATTGGCTTCCCAAAGTAAACAAACATCCTATAAGTGGTAGGGGTTACGAATAGGCAACCAGCTGAAGTCGGCCAAACTATTATAGCAGAGAGAGATGACAGGGTTTGGGGGTAACTTGATATAGAACTGCTTCGGGCTTATCGGCCTTCATTCCACAGGCATAAGCCTGACCACCAGCTGGGCCGGACAAGACAAAGATGCGCACTCACAGATGGCGCGGATCGTCCACCACTGGGGTCTACCAGATGGGTTTTAAGCACTTCATCGAACCGCAGTTTATAAATGCCACGCCACCTTCCATTTTCTGTTACTGCAAACCGGGTATATATTCACTCAGGAATGTCCGAACACCGATTCAATTGACTTCACGAAGTTAAAAACGTCGTGTGGTGGCTAGGGGTCACATAGCGGGCGACCACCTGCCAGGCTTAACAAGCGTGCGCACGCACGCACGCACACACAAAAATACAGGGCACAGGGCTCTTAAGTGAGCTTCAGGAGAAAACGGAATATGCATGTTCCTTTACGGGATCGGAGAAGCCCACACTATCGTCATCTTTCCGATAGCAACGGACACAGGCTCGAATGGTCATTTCTGGCTTATCAGCCGTCCTCAGCCAGCCATCCCCAACCGAAGGCCATAAACTTTGCTATCCATACAAAGCTTGTTAGCAGCGGGAGTCTAACTGAACGGTGGGCTTACATTCATCCTTGAATAAATACGCCATCTGCAGCGACATAGGAGGACAGATGGCGAGGAATTGATGAGCTTCGGTCCGATAAAGTGCTTATAACTCAACCACTAAACCCATTGTGTGGACTATATGTGCCGAACTCAAGCGCATGTTTGTATTTCCAGTCCCAGCTGGCTGAATGAAAGCAGAATACGTCCGAAACGGAGCGTATCAATATACCCGAATTTTCTGTCGTCCCTCCTCTCTGTATATGTTCGGCTCATTTCATTTTTATTGGGTGAAAGTCATGCAAAGGTCTTAGAGCTCCAAATTGGTAAAGGTAGCCAAGAAAGAGGTTGGTACCATAACTAAAGGCGAAAGGGAAGTGGCCATCGGGTTTACGAAAAGGGTAAAATGCACGACTACTTATTTATTGCGAGTAGTATAATTAAACATATTATTATTTCAGGAATGTTACCCCGGCTTTTTGGGAGGTGGAACGAAAACAACAAGCATAGATAGTGAAAAAAGCAGGAATTTTTTGTAAAGTACAGAAGTTTGAATAAGATTTGAGGTCTTGTAAGGGGAAAAACGGCCGCTCATAGAACGAAAATATACGCGCGAGATAGGACCGTCATGCTGGTGAGGATGTGTGAAGCTAGGTAGGGGAGCCCATCGCGGTCATTATCACTATAGTAAGGGTCACAACGAGGTGGCCGTAGACGTCACGAGCTCATCACCGAAGTTTCGGAGATGTGACTTTGGTTCACCCTTACGGATTACCAGGTCTTCCGACAAGGTGGCAAGGGGTTAGGTATGGCCGGCTGACGACGACGAATTAGCCAGAAGTGACCATTCCTCTCCTATGCCCTTTTAAAAGCGCTATGAGGCTGCTAACGAGGCTCAAGAAATAGAGCCCCAAAGCACAACGGGACGAATGAGTCCCATCTACCTTGTACTCCATTTTTGTCAGTGGCAATTAAACCTTTACGTCCACCCGTTGTAATTCGTTTAACACTACTTTCAATTTCAGCTTCCTTTACACCTCTATCCCCATTACCTTTGTATTTATCTCTATCCCGGACTATCAGTTCCCTATTTAACTCTTATCTTCAGGTCCCAATCTTAGCCCCAAACGTTTTTTCTCGTGGCCTTATTGTCATTTGAAACTTGGTTGTAATGTCTGTCTCTCAGAAAACTGAGACAACCAAATGTGCTCCCTGAGGTATACCAAAGCATTCCATCTATGGGTTTTCAGTTCATCGTTAAAAAGTGTTCATTTGTGTCCAGGCTTTCGTTCCATATTTCCTCCAACAAATTCGAAATCGTTGTGACATATCTTCTCGCATCCGACGCCACAACAATTGACGAATCATCAGAGTGGAGCCATTAGCTGCTGCTCTCGATGGATAGGTCATCAAGGGCAAACCTTCCGCATACTTAAACTTGCCATTCTTAATGCTAGGTCCAGATAAATGAAATGCCCGAGGTGTTTCCATTGCCCGGACTATCCTATTGACCAATATATCACAAAGTCTTCTGAGCCATCTTATACTGGCTAAACACATGCAAAATGGTCTCCAACGAAGCCTTGATGAAAGTGGCTGCATTTATTAGAATCAAGAACTTACGTAGCAGCAGTTAGACCTATAACTTTCAGTAGGAGACTGCAGATTTAGGCTGTGGTTACAATAAAGAAAATTGTGATTTGCTGCTCAAATGCGTATATAACATCCCGCTTAAAGAAAAGAAGAGATATGCAGAAATTATGAGCTCACTTTTTCGTCGAGATGATAGGCCTGAATAACGTCGACCACTTCTTCGTAAGCTCCTACCATATAGGCACCAACCGATTTCACTAACCATTCCTCGCCATAAACATGTTTTCGGTCATCTTTGTCCTTGAAGTCCGCCAGAGCACGCAGTAAAAGAGCAGAGTTTGGATAGATTATTTGAGCTGCTCTTGTCGACAAAACCTCGACCTCCTTGCGTGGTCTATACACGCCTGAAGGAAAAACGTTATGACTTAACTAGCATATCAACTTTGCGTTTCTGTAGTAAAACACAAACGAAACATTCCGCAAATGCCGGCAAATTGTTGCTGATTTTCTGTATGAAAAAGGTGATAAGAAACGAGTACATACTGAGTGCAGATTCAGTGAAAATTACAAACCTGAACACAACGCAGTACAGCAAGGCAAAATGTTCGCCATGGTAAATAAAGTATTCATAGACAGCTGTTAAAAGTCTAAACACCAGTGCTCACTAGATAAGCATGCTTTTAAACAAAAAAGTATTGAGATCATGTTTACTGAACACGTCGTAGTGAATAGGTCAATATTGAAAACGGGCATCTAACTACTTGATAGTAAAAATGACACCATCCAAACGGAGTAAAACAACATTTTCTCTATGCGTATCCGTTCAAAAATGATAACATGAATCTCGGTCGGGTAATAGTAAGGTAAAGGGAACCCTAGTAGAGTCACACGTGAGACAACAGAACCAAATTTTTGTCTGTTAGATAAAATTTAATAATTGAATTTACATCCCGAATCTGGAAACTTCTTATGTGGTTTAAAGATTGCAATATAATACTTTGCTTTCTGCACACAAAAATAATAGTGACCTCTGCAACAAAAACATTGGTAAACCAAAAAGCGCGTATTTTCGAAAAAATCGTGGGCATAGGATGTATTTTCCGATCCAGAGAGATCTTTAGAGTACACACAGGTTTACTTCAGAAAACTAGGCCGCATCTTGACAAAACAAGATGCGGTTTTCTTCTGTGGGTGTTATTTTAATCAGTGCGTTACAACTAACAAAATGTACACGACCTATAACATGCAGACCTTCGTAACGTACCGTCCATCACTTCCTACTCACCTGTGTGATATTCTACTAGGTTTGCTTTTTGTGTTTTGCCCTTCAAAACAACACAAAAAAATACCTTGACATTTAGTAGGGAGCATAAAATCATCCTGGGATAGAATATTGGCTGACCTCAGACCAATACATTGTCCATTACATTACACTCCGAGTTGAACTGATGAACTTCAGTTCTAATGAGTGCTTAGGACCTAGCTGTCAGAACCCTTCCTTGAACTATGTACCACCTTGTACCTTTTAGGTATGTGTATCTGATACCCGACTTTGTTTATATGCATATCTGTACATTTTTGTTCGAATACACGTTTTTTCCTACTATCTGATGTGTGTACGTGTTATTGTGACTAGGCGACCTCTGCTTCAGTGTGGCTACCGATTAATCGGAAATTGTGCTTGGTGAAAAGGTTCAAAAAGCGATCGTCCCTTTTAGGCACTTGACAAACCAATTCTTCAACCGTCGTGTTGTTGGACGAGCGAGCTTGGCTAGCAAATTTAGCCGAAAACTTCTTCAACCACTGGTTACTGTGGAAGAAGAATACCTTGATTTTGTGAAGCTTTATTGCTCTTTTTGTATAATTGATTTATTTGTTTTATTCCATTTTGTCTCTCGCCATAGTTCATAGTAGTTTAGATGCTACTGTCTAGATTTTTGTGTTACACCGTTTTAACATGAGGTAAAACGTTTTATTCGTTTTGTAGGCATGAACTCTAGTTAGCATCTACAACTTTCTGCACCGTGTGTGCGCGCATGTTATTGTTTCTAATCACCAGACGGGGATCAAGGCTATGACTGATAAACTAAGCGGGATAAGGACCACATCAACATAATTTCATTCTAGTTGGCTCGCCCAGCTGGTATATTCTTGATAAAAACGATATCCAGCGCGACCTGAAATTATTGGTAATAAAAAAGCTTTTCAAAGCAAGCCAAATTGACTTGGTCCGTGTAATAATTACCACAAAAATAATCATAATGATTGTTAGCATATATGATAGCGTACGTACCGGGACCTTCGAAAAGCCATTGTTCTCCAGCCACGTGGTCGACGCCGTCATCTGACTTAAAAGCTACCATAGCAGAGAGTAAAATTGCCTTGTTTTGACCAAGAACCGTAAGAGTCGTAACCTCCTGCATGATCTCTTCACCAGGATACAGCGGAAAACTCGGTTGGGTAAAACGGTACTCTAAATCCCCGTAAGCCAACGGAGTTTGGCCCAAGTCGTCTACGACAACTTCATTATTTTCGTCTGTCTTCACGGGATTTGAGATAATGCAGTATTCCTTCGGTGTCACCGTAATCATCCTTTGGGCCAAATTGAGAATCCTGGAGCTAGGTAAACAGAACTAATTACTATTATTTACTTTTCATGACTTTTTCTATAAAAAGTGATCGGTCCGGTTACAAGTCTCGTGACATTCGTTTTGTTATCTAGAACATGGATGAAATGATAAGGCGGGACAGAAACGCCAAAGAGAGCAGAAATCCGGTCCGCGAGAAACCGAATAACCTCCATCAAGTTTGTATTCTTTCAATGGGGTAGTAAAACAACTCTTTAGTACGTGCTTGCATGGCAGATAATGATTTATAGTCGTTTAGAATTAGGACTGTTAAATCGCACCATTTCGTGTCACTGTCTGCCTTGCAAACGACGACAACTGAAAGATTTCAGAAATCAATACAGCCGGTCCCACGATCAAAAGCTGTTTCGTCCGTTCTCGCCGCCGGGCCTCCTACAGAAATCACTATCACCAAACCTGACCCAAATTTGGACCGTGTGATGGATGGTTGCACTCGCCGAGCCACCAGCCTTATCGTCCTC